CATAGAAATTTTTTTCCTGTTTAATAAAATATACACATTGAGAAAGTATAACTGTTTAATTTTTATGCTATTCAGCAACATCAGTGTTAATAAAAGTTATTCAGCAGCAATGTTTTGTACAAACAGAAAATAACATGGCATTTGTATATGAAAAATATTAGTTAACGAAAGACAAAATAATGCAGTGGTGTAGTGGATGGAACGGAGAATTAACTGAACGTTGCCGGTTCGATTCCTGGTCGATTTAATCTTTTTTTGTCATAATTAAAATTTAAAAAAAAAATCAAATTAAATATCGAAATTCTGTTCAACAATAAAAATTTAAAAGCAAATTTTTTAAATTTTCTTTCATAGGATCAACAATATTGAAAATCTATTGTACCTCCCGTACAAAATTACATAAGTTTTATAACTGATCATATTGCCATACATTTTTCTCACAAATAGAAATTATTTTAAATACATAACATACGTTAATATTTGTTAAATTTAATACGCTCTGTAACATTCTGTAGTTTTGTTTTGAATTGCATATTCTAAGGCGTAATGAAAGTAAGAGTAAAATGTTAAGGTAAATTCGAATAAAACCATAAAATTTGATACTTTATAAAACCAGTTCAAGGTGGAGGGCATTTAAGATTCGGCAAAGCCGAATATAGCACTCTAACTTGTTTATATATTAAATTTTAAATTAACACAATTTATTACAAAATCAAAATTTCACAATGTATGATACCCTACACCAGTTATGAATATTAAATGTGATTTATTTTTCATAATAAAGCATTTATTTGTCTTCAATATTACCTTGTTCCGATACATTTAAGCAATTTATGGATGAAAAACTAATATTCTGAAAGAGGCTTTAGATGGGGGGCTAGAGGTAAATATGGACCAAACCCGATATAGTTTTGTGAATGTATTTATATTTATATAATATTTATTTAATACTTATTTGTGCTGAATTTCGCGATATTTGTGTTTATAAGTTAATTTTGGGCATTGAAGTAATTTTCTGAAAGGGGCTTTGTATTGGAGCTAGGGTCAAATGAGGCCCGATCTTTATGAAATTTGGCGAGGTATTATTTGTTTATGAATATCACAATTTTATTAATGGTTTTTAAGGCTAAAGTGTCCTTTAACTATTTTGTCTTTAAACATCTCTTCCTCAGAAGGTAAAAAATTCAATTAGTGCTACTTGGAAGTACTTCGTTTTATTTTTGCTAGGATATTAACTACCCTACAGTTCGGCGGGACAGTCCCGAACTAACCACTTATGGTGGCCCCTAGCCACCCGACTATCCAGGTGACCAACCATTTTAACATGGGCTTGTCCTACGAGGAAGTCAATCGTCACTCTACAGTCTAATATGATATTGTCAAGAGGTAGTCAAAAGTAGTCAAAGGATGGTAATCTCCAAATGGGTTCTTGGGAGTCAGTCCCATTACTAGCTCTTTTACTAATTACTTTACTAGCTATTGACGTGTCCTAGAGGAAAGTCAAGTGTCCCCAAGTAGCTTGTCCAATGGACAAGTATTGCAGTAGGGTTAAATAACCGGCTCGTCGAAGTATAACTCTAAAAAATTATGAAAAATAAAAAAAATCTTTTTTAAAAAATACTTTTATTTCTAGATTAAATAAATATTGCTGCTCATTTGTATCTTCAGTGAAATCGGACTTTTATACTTTGGAATTTATTAATACACCTAAATGACTCTGAAAGAATATAATAATATGTTATATTAAGGAAAGATTATTTTTTCCGTAATCTCTGCTAAAGTTTTTTTGTTTTAACCAAGGACCATATTTTAATACTTTTAAAACAATATTTTCGTATTTTTTGTTATTAAAAAACAAACATTTCTGTTTAAAAAAATATATTTATCCATCAAGATATTTTTGTATTGAAAATACATATTTTATTTTACATTTAAAACAACAAAAAACAAATTCATCGTTTGTGATATTTATCAGTAAAGTTTGAAATTATTTTCAACTTTTTTCATCAGATGAAAAAAATATTAAACAACAAATATTTGAATTTTCTTGCAAAAATTAATGAAGTACATGATTCGTTAAGTAGTTTAATCTAATGCGGGAATGGATCATGCTTATTTTTTTGAAAACAACAGGGTCCGTTGCTTACAGTATATAGGAACATGTTGTGAATCATGTATTCCTATAGGGATTATTTTGGGATTATTCTGACGTAATGTATATGTAGATGGATTAAGTGGTCCTTAATCCAAAATCATAATATTAAATCGATTATGTTTTTTCCATATATTTGTAATAGTTTTGGGACAGTCCTTGTCTTTTGAGGAGTAATCTCAATTTTTGCAAAACTTTTAGTTTAATTACATACATACACAACATATAAAATCTGTGAAAATTTTCTAAGCGAAAACAAATACAGATTCATGTTCATATAAAACTATTGAAAATTTTTCATTTAAAACAAATTATTGAAAAAGAAAATGATTGAAAATAAAAATTGTTTTTGATATATATTTTAATAGAAATTTTTCGTTTTTCATCATGAGGGATATTTATATTTGAAAATAAAAATTATTTTGATCTTTTTTTCAACAAATAAAATTTTATTTTCAACAAAAAAGATATTTATATGATAAAAATATTTAAAATAAAAAGTTTTCGGGTCCTTGGTTTTAACTCATCTTTTGACTATGTTTTAATTAAATTAAAAAGCATTTTCTTATTTTAAAATTCACACAACAAAATTCTTCGCGAGAACTGTCTTAAACAACTTATTAAAGTCAACTAACATAAAAATAAAATAACTTAAAAAGTGATGAAATAGTATAACTGTTCATTGTCTTTGCACTCATATAAAACTGATCATGTTTATTCTTCTTCTCTTCACCTTCAATTCTTAAGTTTTTTTAAGTGTCCCCTCTCTCATTTACTGTTAAGTGACGACTACCACTCTCTTGCTTACTTGGTATACAGTAAAGTGGCGACTGTCTTCGCTCTCGATTACGAAGAGTACATTCGTGATAAATGACCAAAAACATGCAAATAGGGTACAACCAGTTGGTTAGACTTTAGTGGAAAATAACAATTGTGTCTCCAATTGATGTGTAAAATATCTACATTCTGAAGTATAATGAAAAAAAAACTATTTTAAGTGTCCCCTCACTTGTTTACCTAGGGTACAGTAAAGTGACGACTGTCTTCACTCTCGTTTACGAAGAGTGCGTTGGTGACGAATAACCCAATATATAGAAATTAGGGTCAACCATGTGGTTACACATTAGTGTAAATGACTGCATTGACTCTTTGTGGAACTGCTGGGAATTGTTTGGCTGTCATTTTATGTGTTAGTGTTGCATACTATTATGATAAAATATTCGTTGATTCGGTTTTCTTAATATCATATTTTTGTTAATAATAGATTTTTGACAATAAAAACGAACTTTTAAGAAAAATTAAATCTATATGTATATGACTTTAATAAATGTTTATTTAGTTCAGTACCGCAATTCTGTAATTTTTTAATTTTAACTACCGATATCGTAAAGTAACGATGAATATCGGTTGCATTAACGAATTTTCAATTCTGTAACTTTTTAACGACCTTAGAATATTTTAACGACAAAGATCGGAAAAATATGAGAATGTCAAAAGTTTTGTATTGAAATATTTTTAAAATATAAAATTATTAATGTGAACTTTTTATTTGTCGTTACATTGTCGTTACATTGCCGATACTTTTCGTTATGTTTAACGAAAAAAATCGGTGAAATATAATTCAGAATACCACATAACGATAATTATTGTTAACTTACGAATTTTTACTATTTAACGACAAAATTTTGTAGTTAAAAAGTTACTGAATTGCGGTACAGATGTATAAATATAACATATATTTTCTAATTATTATTAAAAGTATCCGAATAACGGATATTTTGCGACAAAATAAGCATCACTTTGCACATTTTCTTATTTGTACCTATTTTCATTGTCAGAAGTAGCATTACATGATAGTTAGCTTGCAGTTAATCTTTAAAAGTAGGTTATTTGCTAAATACCAAAATTTGGGACAGCTCTTCATTAAAATGTAGTTAACTTACAGTCAGTCTGTAAAAGTAAACTAGAAGTGAATTTTTCTAGTAGTCGACTACAAAAATGCTGGCATTGTTGATTGTCATTTTGATTTCATAGGCAAATATGCATACGTACCTATTTTTTATTGGAACTGGCTTGAGTGAAAAATTGAAACAGCAAAATATTAAATTAAAGTGCAAATACGTACGTACATTAGTGATGAGCGATCCAGTTATTTCTAAAGAACATCGTTTTAAGTGAACGTGATTTGTAAATCACTACTGTTCTTTAAAACAGTGACTGTTATCACGGGTTTCACTTATAAATCAAAACTACATTAATTTTTTTGAGATTATTTTGTTTAAAACCAAACTTTTTACAATAACAATATAGGGAGGTTTTTTATATAGAAAACTAAATGAATTTTAGAATGTAAAATTTCAAAAGGACGGCATTGCAAGTAACTTGTATTTGATTATTTCAGTATTTACCAGTGAATTATGAATCACCGTGATTAAATCGCATACATACAGCGCACACACATACATAAAAAATCAATTATTATGAAAAATTGTTTTAATATTGATATTTTTCCTCTTTATTTGACAAGAAAAACTGGAATTATATTAATTATTAAATTTCAATCATTTGAATTTTTACTTTTTGAGTGCTTATTATTATTGTATGTAAAAATGTTTAAAAGGTCACAACGTACATATATGTCTTGCATAATTTGTTCGGCGTTTGAACAAAATTTCGCAAAACATTGGATGAACGTCACATTCTAGTAGCATGAAGCGGGAATTAAAAATGCGGAATAATTCATTCCCAGTTTTAAATACAAATCTAAAATTTGATTTTCTGGCAACACTAACGTTGATTATGCAAAATAACAAATTTTTAGTTCGTATGCGGGCTTTTGTTCAGTACATTTTATACAATGGTCGCTAGTGAACTGTTTGTGTCAATTTTCTTTATATATTTATCAAATTCGCTTGGTAATCAAAATAAATTCATATGTACATGAATTAATAATAGATTATATTAATGTATAATTTTCAGCTTATGCATTATCGGAAATGAACAAATATTACTGTGTCGAATACTCTTAATAAATAAATTAATTCATATGTATTTATATTATACCGACAAGTGAGTATGTTTAAAATTTGGATTATTTTTTAATATAAAGCATTTAAGTGTTTTTTATCTTAATTCCGAAATATTTTAACAATTTGTTGACAAAAAATTATTGACTTTCATTTATTTTCTGTATGGGATCTAGACAAATGAGTCCCGATCTTTACGAAAATCGGGCTTTATACTTATTATAAAACTAAAGTTCTGTCGATTTTTGTGGAGACACTACAACATTTAACTTATTTATGAACTACAAAGCCCTATTCGGGGGTAGGGTTGAATGGGGGCTAGGTGACTAATGACAGATTTCAAGGGGTCAAGGGATCCCGAAATCAGGATTGCGCTATACATATATTTGGCATCCCAAGATTTGACCCTTTCCCCAATATAAAGCCTCCTTCTGAAAACCACTTTTTTATCAATAAAGTGTTGAAATATTTAGAAATTAACTTTATATACAGCATTTATTATAAAAAATAATACACATTTTAAGCATACTCATCACTGGTGTTGGTTATCAAGTTGTCGACTGTAGTGTGTCACTACATACTTCTATTTCTTTTAAAAACTTGTATTATTTACTTTATGTTATTATGTTTTTAAATTAAGTTTTATATTTTTTTATTTTCAAACTTGTCTTTGTTTCAACAAATAAATTTTGTACAAAGAAGTTATTATTATAAATAAACCTTTTTATAAAATAAAATAACTTCATCGACCATGCCCGACTATATTTTCTTACTTGTTGTTACACGAATAAATTTTATTATGGATCCTGCCCTTGAACATGAAACAATTTCTAACCTTTTTTATACCCTCCACCACCATCAGTGGTTATAGAGGGTATATATAAGTTTGTCATTCCGTTTGTAACAACAAGAAATATTCATTTGAGAGTATATATATTCTTGGTCCTTAAGAAATTCTGAGTCGATCTAGATATGTCCGTCTGTCTGTTTGTATAAAACACGCTCACGTTAAAACGGAGCAACGGAACTTTATTAAATTCACTCAAAATATTCACTGTTATCCTAAGCAGTTTGGTATTGAAAATCAGCAAGATCGGTGAAACAGGTTCAGAGTTATGAGTAAAAGTTTGAGACAACCTCGAAAAAATTGTGCTTTTCACATATTTATTTGTATATTTTACAAAAACTACTGCAGATAACTTGATGAATTTTGTCACAGATATAACTCTTGGTGCCAGGATCAACATTATTTAAAAAAAGTCGGTTCACAATTCCACATACTTCCCATACAAACGTACATATTCCGAGAAATGAATTTATTGTTAATAACTTCCGTTATAATGCCGATATCTTTACAAAATTTTACAAAATTAAGCTTTATGCCAATAGAATTCATATAAAGAAACAATTTTCTGAATCGGTCCATAATTGGTCGTAGCTCCCATATAAGGTTCCCTTCCGAAAATCACTTAAACGTACATAACTCATTACCAAATAAAGATATCCATACAAATTTTAGCACAAACATTGCTTTTATATACAGAAATGATACTGTAAAATTTGTTTACGATCGGTCCGTAATTTGTCGTAGCTCCCATACAAGGCCCCTTTTCGAGAATCACTTAAACGCATATTATTCATTAAAGATATCCATACAAAATTTGGCACAAATATTCCTTTTATCTACAGAAATCTAACTATAATTTTTTTCACGATAGGTCCGTAATTTCTCGTAGCTCCCATACAAGGTCCCCTTTCGAGAATCACTTAAACGCATATTACTAATTACCAAATAATGATTTCCATAAAAATTTGGCACAAATATTTATTGTTGAATTTTGTCAGACATATACTTAGTTTGGGGATCCACTATGTTGAAAATAAAAAAAATTTATTATTTTTGGCAAAAAATTAAATAAAAACTGTCCAAAACGAACAGGATTCGAACTTAGAATCTCCCAGTTGCTAGTTCTACGTCATATTCACTGCACTATTAACTAGCTTCGTAACTGTTTGCAACTAATGATGTTCACATAGAAATTTCTATCCTGTTTGTGTAAAAAATTGTTGCTAACCCAAGATCAAATAAAATATGCACAATGAGAAAGTATAACTGTTTAATTTTTATGCTATTCAGCAACATCAGTGTTAATAAAAGTTATTCAGCGGCAATGTTTTGTACTAACAGAAAATAACATGGCATTTGTATATGAAAAATATTAGTTAACGAAAGACAAAATAACGCAGTGGTGTAGTGGATGGAACGGAGAATTAACTGAACGTTGCCGGTTCGATTCCTGGTCGATTTAATCTTTTTTTGTCATAATTAAAATTTAAAAAAAAAATCAAATTAAATATCGAAATTCTGTTCAACAATAAAAATTTAAAAGCTAATTTTTTAAATTTTCTTTCATAGGATCAACAATATTGAAAATCTATTGTACCTCCCGTACAAAATTACATAAGTTTTATAACTGATCATATTGCCATACATTTTTCTCACAAATAGAAATTATTTTAAATACTAACATACGTTGATATTTGTTAAATTTAATACGCTCTGTAACATTCTGTAGTTTTGTTTTGAATTGCATATTCTAAGGCGTAATGAAAGTAAGAGTAAAATATTAAGGTAAATTCGAAAATTTGATAATTTGATAATTTATGGAACCAGTTCAAGGTGGAGGATATTTAAGATTCGGCAAAGCCGAATATAGCACTCTAACTTGTTTCAAATCGTAATGTTGTTTTCGAATAAAAAAAAGTTATCTATCTACATATATAAAAATGAATGTGTGTTTGTTTGTATGTTTGAACGTTATAGACTACTAAAGGGCTGAACCAATTTTATTCAAATTTTCACAGCATATTCCTGTATGACTGGAATAGGTAATAGGCTACTTTTTATTTTGAAATTCCAAGTGGGCGAGGAGCCACGCCCATATTAAGAAAATATTAAATCCGTATATTTTTGATAATATAACAGTTAGAGTCCTCAAATTTTGTCGGAGCAACTTTAGTGTCAATATTATTATTTAGGACAAAAAGAAGGCGGACTAGCATTAGGGGGCGTGTCACCTCCCATATAAATTAAATACAAAAATACGTTTATCTTGGAAACTATTACAGATAGAATCTTCAAATTTTGCACGAATAACTTTAACATCCATCTAAACATTTTGGGTAATAAATTGGCGGACTACCCTTGAGGGGAGCGGCACCTCCCATATTAATTAAAGACAACAATTCGTTTATCTGGAAAACTAATGGAACTAAATTCTTCAAATTTTGCACGAAGAAGTTAAATATTAATCTGAACATTTTGGAGAAAAAAAAGCGGACTTTTATTAGGTGGGGCTTGAAGCCCCCATATGAATTCAATAAAAAATTCGTTTATCTGAGAAATTAGAGCTAGAATCTTCAAATTTAACTTGAAGAATCTTGACATTCATCTGAACATTTAGTATAACGGGCGAACTTTCAATGGGGAACTTGGCACCTCCCATATGAATTAAATATAAAATTTCGTTTATCTGGGAAACTAATAGAACTTGATTCTTAAAATTTCCCACAAATTAGTTTAGTATTCATTTGAATATTTTGGATTTTCATGTGGGGAGCTTGAACCCCCCACATGAATCAAATAGATAAATTCGTATATCTGAAAAACTATTAGAGCCAGAATCTTCAAATTTTACATGAAGAACTTTGAAATTCATGCGAACATTTAGAGCATATCGGGCGGACTTGCAATGGGTGGCTTGGCACAACATATATGAATTAAATACAAAATTTCGTGGATTCTTGGAAACTTTTAAATTATTAAAATTTTTTATAGATAGATAAAAATTGGCGATAGATAGAAACTGGCGAATTTGCTTGACATCTCTCATATGTAACATATTATAAATCTGGAAATCTATTGTAGTTAGAATCTTCAAAATCATTAAGTGGAATTTTTATTTATACATATTTCTTTTAGGGTAGCAAAGCACACTGGGTATAGTTAGCTATATATATAAGACACTGGCAGAATGATTGAATAAAATTGATTTATTTACAAGCTAAACCCAGTATGCTTCGCTACCCTAAAAACAATATAATTTTTTTGGACCCTATTTTAAAACTCTCACCATTTTAGTTTCCATTTCCGCTATTTATAATTCACCAATTTTCTCATCCAAATGTTCATATGGATGTTAAACTTTCGCATGATCCACTTATTCTTCAACCACATGTTCATATTGATACTAAAAGTACATGCACAAATGTTAAGGGGTCCTACCTGTTGTAGTTTCTAGATTTACGATTTTTTGTATTTAATTTATATGGGTGGTCCATGCCCCCTATTGCTAGTCCGCCAATATATTACCCAAATGTTTACATGGCTGTCACAGTTGTTCGAACAACATTTGAATATTATACCTCCATTACTTTCCAAGATGTAAACATTTTTAAACATTATTCGCATTCGTAATTGCATTGAAAGTTTAACCAATACAAAGCAAAAAAATTTTTCCCTTTGTCTTGTCTGTCAAAACTATTTGAAAAAGCATTCCAAAAAAAAAAATTAATTGAACAGTCAGCACATTATGCCAGACCACCAATTTGGTTTCCGTGAGAACCATGGTACAATCGAGTAAGTAAATCGATTAACTGGTGAGGTTAGAAAAGCCTTTCAATAAAAAATGTATAGTTCGGATATCTTCCTGGATATTTCCCAAGCTTTTGACAGGGTCTGGCATAAATACCATCTAGTACACATGCTTTACTAGAGTCTTACCTTTCTGATCGACAGTTCAGGGTAATGTACGGCGATTATGTAACAAAGGACTATGCAATCAATGCTGGTGTTCCACAAGGAAATGTACTAGTACCAACACTTTACC